CTATATATTCTCATGTCTTTAGTGAATAACAACACAAGTGTTTATTTTGTTGGTGAAAATAATTTATTTTCCTATTATTAACTTATCAAGTTTGCAACATGCTATTTACTTTATTTATGATTGACTTACTAGTTCATGATCTTGTTTCTCTTAAGTTATGCTTGAAAATAGATATGTTAACTGTCTATTGACTTGTTTACCAGTTATCTTCTCTTGTGTCGAATTGGGTGGAGTTACAACTGTTACCACATATTCTTATTATAGAATACGGATCGTTTCGTGTCAACGATGGCACGAATGTTGTATTTTATATTTTTTCGCTATATAGCTCTTACATTAGACTTACATTGACTTTGGATTTTATCAATATTAACTAGATATTTCAAGTTGATTGTCCATCTAATATTTGAAATAATATCTTGGTCAATTTTTTTAATCATAGAAGGTACATACATCTCGCGTAATATATTTGTTTTTTTTTGTTTATCGAATATTTAATTTATAATAATAGGGACTTAGATACTTCTATTTCTTAATGCCAGTTTTTTTTCTCCATTTAATATCTGTTCTTAACACAGCAGAGGTATTTGTTATAAGATCTATGGGTACTTTTTCTCTCTTACCAGGCTGTCACAATTTATGGACAGTGCGATAGGTGCTTCTTATTCATTATATTTTCTTTAGTAGTCGCCGATTTGTGACAGTAAAACATAAGAATCGATTGATTAAAAAACGTAATTTTCTTCCTCCATTATATTAGTTAGAAAGAGAAAATTTTTTAATAGAATTCTCCTTTTTAATCAGTGTTACTTTATAGGAATAGAACAAACATATCTCTTATTAAATTGTATGCACTGATGTTTTTCTCCTGTCAAGTAGATAATTCCTACTGTACCCAGAAAAATTACTCTCCCAATAATAATAACTTCGTAGTAACTCACGGTAGACACTTTTTTATACGTATGTATTCTTTTTCAGTCAAGTTCTAAATTCTTCACAGAAAATATGTATCTCGTATTTAATATACAGTACTGGTAAAAAATATAAGAACAGACAATTTTTTAATGTTTTTACTTTTTTCCGATTGATAAGAGCTTATCTGTATAGATATATACATTCAATTGAGCTCTATCTGAAACAGAAGTAAGATTTCTTCATTTCTTATGTCAAACAAAAGACAAGATATTTTTATGGAAAATTCATATCGGTTTTTTCTCAGAGATAAAACGGCAGTCTAACTCAGATTCTTTTGCTGCTAAAACTACAATTTAGATGAGCCCAATATTTTCCACAGTTCTACACGGTAGAAGACATTTATTGCTACCAAATGAAACATTTTCGAAGTCTAAGAAATATTCTTCCAGTGCGAAACACGACGTTTTAACAAAACACAATGGTTTTTGTATTATATTCAGCTTAAAATTGTCGATTTTTAGGGTTTTAAATTTAAAAATATCGTTTACTCGCTAAAAGAATGCTTCTCAGACTTCGAAAATGTTTCATTTGGTAGCAAAAACTGTCTTATATCACGTGGAATTGTGGAAAAAGTGATCTCATCTAACTCGTAGTTTTAGTAGCGAAGAAGTCTGACTTCAGTTTCGGATAGAACTCAACTGAATGCATATATCTATACACATAAGTTCTTATCAATCAGAAAAATGTAAAGGCATATAAAGTGAAAGCGCTAAAAAAATTGTCTGTTCTTATATGTTAGGCTAGCACTGTACATGAATACTTTTTTTCTAGTACCAGTTTATTTTGTTTTCTTTTAATCTAAAAGTCAATTTATAAAAAGAGTTAGATCCAAATAGTATTAAATTGTATGGTGATTATTTTCATCGATTAATTTGTTCTTAAGGTAGAGAAAGGTATTTCTTCTCCGCTATAAATTAGTTAGATTATATTTATTTTTCAGTTTTAAATACAAAGTAATTATATTGATATTTGTATTTTCTTAGTACTTTCTTGTTTTTGTTCTTATTACATAGAGATGCTCTTTAGTTAACATATTCTCAATTTAACTTTTCACGGAATTAAGTCAAGTATTCAATGGTCCAGAGATAATGATATTCATCATTTTTAAGTCTTCATCATACATGTGAAGAAATATACAGTGACAGTTATTTAGAATAATGTTGTCCGGAATCTTAAACTTTTTAATATCATGAAAAGTACTATTAGTTTCATAACTAGAGATGTGTACGTAGAAAATTCAGAGTATTGTACAATGAAGAATATGTTTTCGAACAACATTATTATAAATAAGTGTTTTTTTTGTATTTTATCAAATTTATGATGGAGATTAAGAATCCTGAACATTATTATTTCTGTACAATTTGAATGCATTATTTGAGTTCATTGAAAATTTAATAGAGATTACGCTGACTAAAGCTTATCTCTGTGCAACTAGAACGAAATAGAAGAGTAAAAGCTGTTATATACAAATTGTAAATACTAGGATAACATTAAATTTTATCAATTTTTTTGAAAAAAGAGTTGACCATATTTGGCATAAAAGAATTTGATGCTAATAAAGCTGTAGAAAGTAAAAGACGGCATAAAAAAATAAGATATAACTTTTTAAAATGATTTTTTTTATATAAAAAAGAATGGCGTGTTTGTCTACATGAATGGATGACGACAAAGCCAAGAAAAAAAAAACAACAAACACAAATAGTAAACAGGTATGTCGACGATTTTTTTATATATAGAAAGCTAAAACATTTTCTAATAAGAAAACGTTTGTTTTTCTTTTTTTCATCAGTTTCTATGATTGTATGCGTTTATGATGAAATATTTCTTTTTCTCCCTTGTCGTCATAGGCAAAAATTGGGATGATCATTTTGTCTGTAGAAGAAACACGTGACTGTCTTGTTGCATGTACACTTGTCTTTCAAACATAGTAAGCAAACCCTGCTTGTTTTCTTTTCTTTCTTACAATTTGCTCAGCGTTACATATCATATTTCATTATAAAAACGACAGAAAAGTACGAGTTAAAATGTTATTTATGACGTCGTTTTGAATATTAGTCTGTTTACTCAATCACTTCGTTACAAGTAGAGAGGTATAAGCCAATGCATTAATCGACGATAGTGGATAAATTTATCGTAATTTATTTCTTGTGTCAGCAGCAACTGGCAATGTATAATGGTNACAGAATAAAACGTATTTACATAATTACGAAATGCGCAGTTAGTTTTAAACAGTTTATTTGCTTTCATAATAAACATTATTTTCAACTAAAGAAAACAATACACATCGATATTGATGAGATAAACGTTTTATTAAAAGAAAAAAAAAGACAAGTCTATAAACAACTAGATTATTAGCTCACGAGGTAAGTACCATGATATCATAATAATATTCTTTCAACTAGAAGGAATGTCAAAGAAAGAAATCATAGAATAAGCATGTATCAAACTTAATTGACTAAATTCAGATGCATCAGATGTATTAAGTTTGTTTTCTTTAACATCATAGAATTGAATTATACGAAATAAAAAAAAATCTTAGGTAATTTTGTTAATTTTTCAAAAAAAAATTTTTTATTTCGATGATCAATTAATTGAATGAAATATGTAAGAATGAAGATTAGGAAAATCATGTCGATGAAAAAGATATGCAATAATATTTGTGTGATCACAAATTTCATCATGAATTTGTAATGAAACAACTTGATCAGAATGAAATTTCAAATGATTAGACAAAAATTCAAGTTCATAACGACAATAAGTCTAAGTACTAGGATATTTCCAAAAAGCATCTCATTTGATAAATCTTCCAATTGAGTAATACTGGTCATTTTATTCGTTATCAAACATATAACCATGCGTATAAATATGTTGTAGTGCATTCAATTACAAAATGATCGACTCGTCGATTATAATAGATGAACTGACCATTGCATGTATGAATACCCTCTATAGCTCAGTCAACTTTATTGGCGAATAAGCAATTCAAGCAAATATTCTTTTTCATTTTAATCAATCATCAAAAAAGGTCATGTCGAACATATCAGTCTGTAATTGCATTTGACGTTATCTAGTCTGTTTCTTTGTTAGAAATTCTTGCATAGTTTATTTTTAGACCGTGAATGTGGAGTGCGGGGGTACGAATTTGAAAGTAGTCAACTACTAATCAGTTCTAAATCCAAGAGAAGTTTTATCTTAACGTGTATATACAATAGAGTCTATTGTTGCTATCAATGAGTTTATATAAACAAGGGTTCGGAAACAAAAGTAATTTGCTAAAATGTAGTAGAGAGCATATCCATTCACACATGACAGCAGAACGAAAGAAAATATAGATGAAATACATATACATTATGGCACGACAATAATGGTAGAAAGAGTTGACGCTACCGAACATGGATGTGGTGGAAGGAGAAATCCATACCCAACACCCACACCCTTGTGAGACGCCTCGTAAGTATGGTATCAGAAAGCAGAGGAGCAGCATGGGGAAAGCTTCATATAATGCACTTATGTGTAGTTTTGGAGAAAGAAAGCAATAATAATATGTTGGCATTGACTATTCTAAAATAAAAAATTCGAGTGAGTGATATGTATGAAGAAGTGAAGCGTAATTGTGTTTCATAAGAGAACAAGTTTAGAAAGGAGGTATAAGAGAATAGAGCAAATTCACTGGTATCCACTCCTTCTGCTTTGTTGTATACAAATGTAATTGAAGCAATGAAATGAAAGAATGTCAGCGTGAATTTATTTATTCTTGTAATATTTAAATCATTGCATAAAAGCATGTACCATTTGCATTAACAAAAGGTTGATAGCTATGAAAACGGTAAGTTTATTAAATAAGAAAGTTTTCTTCGTCTACACTGAGGCTATAAGCATTTAGCTGTTTTTTTCTAGTTGATTCTCGCTCTAATGTTAACGACGGCTAACGTAAGTGGTTGAGCTTCCTTTTACAGTGAATTGGTCACTTCAACGTGACATCATTGCAGGTATTGGCGTTATCTGTCAATAACAATAATGCAGTTATGTTACCGAAAGGAGTCATTCTACTTTGGTAAGTTCGGTAATCGACAATGCGACTGGTCTTGAAGCATACATATACTGTTTTTTTTTAGGGCTGGCGATTCATATGATATTCCTGATGGATGGATTGTTTGCGATGGTACGCAAGGAACTCCGGATTTACGTGATAAATTTGTTATTGGCTCAGGTTGCTTTGTCACTTGTATTGTTTACTTCATCTTGCTTTTCTTCTGTTTTCAAGGTAGCAACGCTAACCATGGCTACGGCACCACTGGTGGCCATGCGAAAGTTACACCAACAATTACTGTACAAGAGCACGTCTTAACAACATCCGAAATGCCTAGTCACAATCACGGTGGTGTTACTAGCATTGAAGATAATACAGCGATATACTACGATATACAAGGAAGCTATAAAGATACCAGAGCACTTACTGCAGATGGTCGATTCTTCAGTACAAAGCATCTTAATGGAGGAGACGGTCTTCAACATACACATAAGATTTCAAATGAAGGCGATAATCAAGGTCACTCACATATGGCAAAATCATCAGAAATTGACTTACATCCACCGTTTCATGCTCTATTCTATATTATGAAGTTGTAGTTTTCAGAATTTTATTGAAAAGAAATAATAAACTCTAAATATTTCGAGCATCGTGTATAATTCCCTATAAAATCAGGTTTTCTTTAATGGCATCGTTGATTAAATGTTTAATTTATTTTTATATTATTTGTGATAAGTAAAACTCAAATCAAACAAAAATGAACCATTTCAATGAATTCAATTTGAAGATGATTGAGGAATAGAATTATACAGCTTGATTCAGTGAATTTTTTGCTCTAACGAACCATGTAACTCATATTTATTTCATTTCGTGTCTTGTCCGAAAATTTGGTAAACTCTAAGAAACGATGAGATGAAACTTTCACACGCTCATATTTCATAGAAACTAAATTCATTAATCATGAAAATAGTTTTCAATGAGAATGTTGAATTATACTGTTCAAAATTTGAACCATTTCTGTCATCTATTAAAGAAAAAGAACTTCATATGCTTAAAAAACGAAAGTCTCCTTGAAGAAAAAACAGAGAACAATCTATAATATACATTTAATAAGTTAACCACAAAATGATTTCAATATGACTAGCTGCAAAAAAAAAAATCCTTTCTGTACTGCCATACAAAAAGATAATATAGTCAAGCTGTATTATTGCAGTCATATTAAATATCAGTATAAAGTAGAAGAAGAAGATGATGATGACAATTTTGATTGATAGTATTGTTTTTCAATTAAATAATAAAATTTTTAGTTGTTGTCGATTTCTACTCAAGTAGAATGTTAGATAAGCATTTTTTTCTCAAATAATTGACTGTCCGCATCAGATTAAGAAGTACTTATGTGTGTATATATATTTGTCATTTACTTAATCTTATGTATGTGCTTTACATTTTGGATTAAATAACAAAATGAACAATTGTTTATTTTTCTAGATTATGTAACAAACTTTTACTTAAATACTTTACTTGCGGGAAAAAAAAGCAATACATGTATCTGTTGCTCGGTTAAAAAAAACAAACTTTCTTCAACAATTCTATTCCGAAAGATAATCAAAAATATATTTATAAACGATTCAATGTAAAATAACGCCATCTATACCTGTATGTTTTCTTACCAATAATAAAACAGAACAAATGAGACAACATACTCAATTCATTTGTTTATTTATTTGTGTCAAAGAAGATAGTTATCACAGTGGTTTACAATTTTTAGATTGTTAGATGTTATCATTACTGGAAGTCAAAAGCAAAGTATGTTATTTTTTTTTTTTGTTTTATTTTAGAATTAATTTCTTAATTTAATATATATTTTCTTTTCTAGTTCGGTGCGGAATTTCGTCGATTTGAACTCGATCGAAAAAATCCAATAAAATTTGATGATTTTCATAAATTAATTGAAGATTTACATGGTCTTCAACATATTCCATTTCATATAACTTATTTAGATAAAGATGGTGAACTTCTATCAATAAATAATGATACAATTATCGAACATATTTTACGTGTTAATACAGGTTTATTAAGAATATTTATACAACGAAAAGGTAAAGAAAAAAATAAAAAAAAAATGTTTTTTGTTTTCTAAATACAATTAATTATTTTTTTTTTGATCTAGGTGAATCTTATCAATATTCAGCTGATTCATTACGAAAACGAAAAAAAATATCCGATCAATTATCATCATTAATACATTCATCATCAGATAAAAATAATTCATCACCACAACGTAATATTGAAATACAACCTGATTTTCGTCTTGTTTCATCAATAATTGATGTTGAAATCTTACCTGTTACATATCGTCGTGTTAAATTACATCGTTATAAAGAAAGTAAACCATTAGGTTTTTATATACGTGATGGTGTTGCTATTAAATATGGTTCAAATGGTGTTGAGAATGTACCCGGTGTATTTATATCACGTCTTCTTGCTGGTGGTTTAGCTGAATCAACAGGTTTATTATCAGTTGGAGATGAAATAATTGAAGTTAATGGTATTGAAGTAAGTGGAAAAACACTTGATCAAGTAACTGATATGATGGTAGCTAATAGTCATAATTTAATAATAACTGTTCGACCACAAAATGATACATATAATTTAAAACGTACTGTTTCATCAACAACAATTCCAACAAAAAGTCCAATATCATCAATAAAACAAAATAATACAAGTAATAGTACAAATCAAAGTGGATCTCAAATAAATGGTGGTATGAGTGACGATGATGATGGTGATCTTTATCGTTCACATAATAATTCTCATTTACAAAAGACGCCGTCCGTGTTAAAATTGTGAATCTCTTATATTTCTTTGCTAAATGTTCACTTTCTTTTTTTTTTGTAGCCGTTGTTTACTCTTGATGTACACACATTCCAATCAATTTCTTTCTTATATAGCGAGCTTGATTTTCTTCTTTTTTTTTTTTTTTTTGTCTTCTCTTTATGTTTATAATATTGATATGTGTATGAGTATGCTTGTCTTTTAAAACATTCGTTATGGATGAGATGGAAACAGGGTTTTTTTTTTCTTTTTTTTTTTTTTTGGTAAGACATAAAGAATAGTCGGCTATTTAATAATTTTCTTTTAATGATTATTACAATGAAAAATGATAAGACTTATGAATTCTATTTATTTGACAAAACATTATACACTATCGAAATCGATCGCACATATATATATATATGATTTTGTTTTTCTCTTATAAAAAAAAATTCTCGAATTTATCACGACTTTTTTTTTTGTGTAGATGCACATTATTTTGATGATCACATTCGCTATTGTTATCTTTCATAGATGAACACATCTGGATTTTGTTCTTCTTATCTTATTGTCTATCACTTTTGTCTAATACATTAATACCGTCTGCTTATTGTTGATTAAAACTTTATGTATCAATGAAAAGAATGACATCGGAATACTATTTTATGTTAAATAAAAAAAACTTTTTTCTAGTATTCTGATGCTATATAAAACAATTCTCTGACAAATGGATAAAGAAAAAAATTTTTATGAAAATATATAGAAATTAAATATACCTTTGTCTTGATCGTAGCAGAGAACGGAGTGTACTAAAGACTATCGTGTTCAAAATTTTTGATTGCGTACTCGAACTGTACTCCAAATTCTAACGAAATTATTTTAGATGCGATCATTACGAAAGTTTTTGGATAAAGTATTTCTTAAACATGTTCGGAATTTTTTTATGAGATTAACAAGTTAAGGATTATGAATGAGTCTTTAAAAGGCTAAACGAAAGTAATCGAACTAACAGATCTAAAAATTGTAAATCTGATCGTAACTCATTTAAAATTGATTGCGTGCTATTTTCGTCATAAACCGTCTAATTGAGCTTAGTACTACTACCTTTTGCTTGTTTGCAACACGTTCTATGACTTTTTAGATCAATACATAGAAAATATACGTTTTGCATAATGTAAAGAATGTCACAATCGTCTACAAAGTTAACTAAGATCCGAATGCCTCGCAGTTATTCTTTAGAAATAATCAAGTTGATTTTGTTAGCTTGGAAATCAATGAGTTGCGACAACATCAATATCTTTTACTAAAAGTCTTAAATTTTATTTTAGATCATAAAATTCTGTTTTTCACCTAACGTTTTAAGTTTATTTCCTGCTGAATTTTATAATCGGTCGATCAATGAAAAAGGATGTTGTTCAGAAATTTATGTCTGCACTATTCGTTATATAACAAACGCAATATCATACTTTAGTAGTATACTTTCGTGTTATATGCAATATATTGAACTAATTTTATTTTGAAATAGTTTCTAAAGACTTTTAAAGTTGTACACATATGGAAAAAATGGGAAGTAAATGATTTATTAGTTTAAATTATTTTCTGGATAGATTTTTTTTTTTACAAAGAACAAAAAAAATAAGGAACAATGAATAAATATGACTATATATTGAATGATTAGAGAAGTTCAATTTTATCTTGCTGTTGTTGTCCAGCAGTTGATCGAGAATGTATTAGTTCAAGTAATGGTTCTTCAGGTTTAACTGCCCGTTGAAGACGCTAAAAATAAATAAAATTAAAAATAATTCTATTTTTAATCAAATTAAATCTTTTTCTTTTTTACTTCATCAAAATTTTTTCCTGGTGTTATAAATAATTTATAAATGGCATAACCTGGTATACATAACATTGGTAAAAATACCATAAGATATGACCATATTTGTATAGGTATTGGTAAATCTTTTAAATTGGTTGTTTTAATAAGAGTTTTACCGAAAAGAAAATTATTCATGGCAATATAGAATATTACCTATATTAAATAATAAGATTAATTAAAATAAAATCAATGAATTTTTTACTTACAAATAAAAACATTGGACTAATAAGATACCAAATAACTCGCCAAAATAATGATGGTCTTGTACCAATCATTGCTTTAATATCAAATGAAAATCGATTAACACCTAAATAAATCGAAACAAATAAAAAAAAAAAAAAAAAAAGATTAAGATTTGAATTGATCTTTTTGTCTTTATAAATTATTTTTTACCATAAAACCATGAAACAGCTATACATTCAATAAATACGACAAGAAGAATAGCTGGAGCTACTGCTATTTCATTCATTAAAGTGACTATATAATCACCACCATAAGTACATGTTGGTAATGCACCTAAATAACATATCGTAAGAACTCCAAGTACAAAGAATGAACGATGACGTCCAAATATATTAGGATATTCATCGCATAAACCAGTAATTATTGATTCAAGACCACCGAACTAAAATTCTTGCAATGATCATATGATCGTATAATTTAAACAAATAAACTTACTGTACTATCAATACCCAATGTTATGACCATAAAGAAAAAAAGAACAGCCCATAATGTTGACCATTCCATTAAGGCAATTGTATGTGGATAAACAATGAAGACAAGTTCGGAACCTGATATTTTCACAGAATAAAATATATAAATAAATAATTAAAAAAAAAAAAAACCTTTTTCTTCAATAACTTGTTCGATTGTTTTCTTTGATACATTAGCCATATGACCAAGTGTTGAAAAAATAACAAAACCTGCTAGAACTGATGTAGCACAATTGATCGTACTTGTTATTAATGCATCTCTATTGAAACAAAGAATACAAAAAACATAAAAAAAAAAAAAAAAAGGAAAAAATATTATTTACCGATAGCAATTATTATGAAATTTATTATATGATGAAAGAGCTAAAAGAACACCAAAACCTGGTCCAAGTGAAAAAAATATTTGAGTAGCTGCTGCATTCCAAATCTATTAATTAAAATAACAATAGACTTTATTGTTTCTTTTTTTATGATTTAAAAATTTATTTATACATCAAAATTTTTCAATAATTCCATCTTAGGTTGAAGATAATAATGTATGCCAATCGATGAACCAGGTAAAGTAACACCACGAATTAATAGAATAAATAAAACTGCATATGGAGCAATAGCAGTAATCCATACAGCCTAATGAAAATAAAAATCATGAATTAGTTATATTAAATTTTTGAATATATATATATATATAAATCAAAACTAACTTTGCCGGAACTTTTAATTCCTTTCCATAGAGCAAAATAGACAAGAACAAAAACGACTAAAAGACTTAAGGCAAGTTCCCATTTAATTTGACCTAAATTATTAAATCCATCTGCTTTATCTACTTCTTGAAGACGTCGACTGAAAAATATTCAATTTTGATTTATTTGTAAAAAAATACAAAAAGAAAACAACAAAACTTACTAAAAATATTCTTCAGTTGAATATACGAAACGAGTACAATTATAGGATGGTTCTATTGCTGTCATATTTAATCTTTGTTCGGCTATACTCATATTTTGAGCTATAGTTCTATATAGTTTTATATCTGCTGCTACACAACATTTTGTGTTCCATTTATGACCACAACTTTTCCATGGTAATTCAGTTCGTAAGCCATTAAAGGACATAACCAAATAATAAACAGCCCATGATATAACTGTATTATAAAAGGTTGCTGTCATAAAATTAATTAATACTGTTGCCCAACCAATACCTTTGACTAATGGACAAATCTGTTAAGAAAATTTGAATATAATTTTAATTCAAGAAAAATAAACTTACATGTTTCCATATTGTAAATACACCTGCTCGATGATATTGACCAAGAGCAAGTTCCATACTATAGAAATAAAAACAAAAAAAAAATGAATATAAGTTCGTCGAATATGATTATATATACTAGAAGAGTGGTAAACCACCAAAAATTAGAAGAACAAAGTAAGGAATAAAAAAAGCTCCACCACCATTCTTATAGACCGTTGTTGGAAAACGCCAGACATTACCTATATATTAAAATATTCTTATATGTAAAAAAAATCACAAGAAATAAGATCTTACCTAAATCAACAGCATAGCCAATAACAGCAAGAAGAAATTCTATTTTATGATCCCATGAATCTCTTGGAATAGTAATTTGTTGTATAGCTGGTTTCCATGAAACAGGTAAATCAATACTTGTTTCAATTGTTTGTAATTCCATTGTTGAATGTATCGATGTTTCTTTACCATTTTCATTACATACAATTTTAAGATTTGATGATGTTAAATGAATACGTTCTTCATTTTTATTACGATCATCTCCAGTAAGTGTTGTTTTACGTTTACTTAAATTTTTTAAATTTTGTAAATGATAACTAAGTTCAGCATTTGATGAACTATGTGAACGAACTGGTGGTCTAGTTTTTGTTTTTGTTTCATTTAATGGAGATGCTTCTGTTAATGTTTGATAATTAAAACCACTTGAAGATTCTCTTGCCAATGGTGCATCAACAATATGAGCAATATCTTCATCAGATATAGCTCGTTGTGTATTAGTTCGTGTTCCTAATGTTGAACTATTACTAGTTGATAATGTTTTCTTTTTTGTAAGTAAAGGCAATGATGGATGCTTTGGTGTTGTTGAACTCATTCTATGACACGTTAAATAGCGATTTATACTGATAATAGTTGCACTGACGTTGAAAAAGATTTAAATGATTGCTGTGGACAAAAAAAGATATGATTATAAAACTCGACAAAAGCACAATAGCAAGAATGTTATTGTACTTCTTGTCAGTTTGAAGAAGCCGAATAAATGAAGATCAGTTCTATCTATTCATATATTTTTTTCTCGAAGTCTTTCTTTGTTGTTTATCATTACTGAACCGAGAGAGATGAATTTCTTTTTTTTTTTTTTTTTTTGGTTTGAAGAAATCTGTTCCTACTCAGATTATATGCTGTTAGTAATTAACATTTGTTTCTCTCATTCTGTCTTGTTTGAGTCCCTCGTTTATATTCCAGTTGTCACTGAAGCGAAGTGATTTGCCTTTTTGATTAGACAGTCAGATTCAACGACATTGTCTCGTTTTCTTTTGTCTTAATGGGAAAATGAGCTAGAAAGACATACAAAACGACGCAAATAGAAGTGTGATTTGATATCATCATATGTCCATCTTTTCTTTTTTTCTTTTTAATAACCTTGAATAATAAGAAAAAAAAACACATTGACAAAGATCCATTCGATCTTTTTATAATTTTTTGCTATTGGTTTTTGTTTTTTAGCCTTATTCATAACATCTTCGAACTAGTAAAATACATCATATGTTGCGAGTGTTTTTTTTTCTGTGTGACAATAAAAATTACAAATATTTGTTTCTCAATTGAATGGAAAAGACAGATATATTCAACAATAATACACATTATTAAATCTGATCATTATTTTTTTGATTATTGCAAATAGAATTTTAGAGAAGAAGAGATGATTTAAAAAGTTGACATGAGGAAATTCATGTTTTCTTTCTTTCTATTTTTTGTGTCATGTTAACACTGATTATTTTTGTATTTTATTAAAAAGTCAAGACATACAAGTTCAAAAAAACGACAAGAAGAATCTATGGGTAATATATACAGTTTAGAATCTCGTTGAGATGAACTTTATGATCTTACAAGTCATAATATGAATCTGAAATTTCACAGTAGTACCAGCAATCATAGCCAATGTGCAAGCGAAAATAACTCTCGCTTTTACTCCAGAAAAGACAGATATATAGATCGGTGATTAGTGATAAAAAAAACCAGGCATCACAGAATGAAACACACGATTGAATACTTTGGTCGAAGAACGAACATATGCACACCTGGATCTGTTAGAGTCGTCATCAGCAATGCAAAAAATAGAAATCTATTATTAAAGTCAATAATAATATATTCAAATTTTTATCGTAAAACTATTTACCAATCATCCTATATATATATATCAATGGCGAAGATACGTAAAGATAGTTATGAGTTTTTGTAAGTAATAAATTGATTGCTATATATACTTGTTTTTCTGTTAAATTGAATATATTGCTGAATAATTTATGTTTTGATATGAACATTGAATAATTGATTCAGTTTTAGTGATTCTTAAATACTAGTTTTTTTTGGTATAGAGTGTAAAACTGCGTTGCATGTCTTTTTAATGATTGATCACATTGCAATAAGTAGTAAAACAGTTTAGTTTTTGTTCAATAGACGTGAACTAGGTTCGAAAAAAAATGCTTATTTAAGTGAGTATTAATCGCAATTGATTATTGTACTAGTGTTTTATACACATCCTGAAACATATTAATTGAATAGTATTCCAGTTGCTAAGTTTTTTACATCAAGTTCATCAATAGAAGATTTCATTTTACTACTAAAAACAGCTGTTAGTGCAATCCTTCTCAGCTGTACTTCAATACCCCTTTTAGGTCGTATTTTACAAAAACAATTTTTTCGATTATGCAAAATAGAACTGATATGATTCAAAACATTGTGCAAATTTAAGCTTTTTGTTGTATGAAAAGTATTTATGATAATTTTGTTTTTTTGTTTTAATTTGATATTTCGTGCAAGAACTTTTTTATTATGTTATCTTTATTAATAAAATTAAATGTATTCGTTTGACAGCTCTGGTATACATAGGATAACGCCATATTATGAACACATAAACTAAGATTGTAATTTAGAGGACGAAATTATAACGGAGCCATCGAATATGATATATATTCTTGAAATTTTCAAATTTGAAAAACTACAACTTTCACACCTACCAATATGTATATGACAATTTTAGAGTAATGTGAACAAATGTTTTAAATTGATTAAAGTCTTGCTATTTGGATTCATATTTAAATTTGAACCGATCTATATAAATAATTCGAGATTTGGTAACAGTTCTATGGAATGAAACTGAACTGTTCCAAAAAATTGTCCATGAGTAGAACAAAATTGTTTTACTCGTGCGAATTTTTCTCTCAAAATTGTGGTACCTTCTTTCTAAACGGATGAAAATATGAAAGAAGATACTTCATAGACAATGCTTTCTTTCATTTTTTCTATATCAATTAATTATCTCATTAGAAAACATATACAACTGCAACTGACAACGTATTTCAAGATACACAAACCTATAGTGTGATCATTCATTCTTGTTACAAGTAAATTTAATTTCCTAATGATAATAAATGCTCTACAGTGAAATCTCTCTATGTGACCACCTCCTTATTCTGCTAATAGTGAGCGTTTGTTTCTGATCCTATGAGTAATAACAACCATACAGCATATGTTCAATCATTCACGTGTAGGATGATAAAAACATGATGTTATATGTATTTCATTACAATAAGCAAGGGAATGGACTAACCGTGCATATTTAAATGAAAAAAAAAAACAATATTAGACAACAGCAATAGTGCTTGATGTAACATGTTGTTTTTGTGTGAATAGCTAGTAACACCAAATCATGTCGCAACTAAATACTTATAGGTTGTAAAATAGAAACTGAAAACTTCCATAAAGTGAACATTTTTAGTCGGACTCGAAAGTGCAAACATTAGATGTTAATGAGCTACAATGAAGCTGTTTTGATTTGATTATTATCAAGAGTTTCACATTAGAAAAGTAAGATTAGAAATTTCCTTTGGTGTTTTTAAGCTTCGTAAAAGTATATGTTTGAGTATTTTCAGTTATGTTATTTCAAGAAGCTATGTGTCACATGATTTTTTCTTTTACCATCATCAATTTTTCTGTATTGACATTAGACAACGGGGCATACGGAGTGCACTGTCTCTGTTCAATGGTGACATAAAAATCGTAGGTCAAATGCATCAGAAAGGAAAACAAATTCTACCACTTAATCATGTTGTCCCAATTGCGGAATATCGACGAAGTATCAACGACGGAGAGAGATCGATAACATATTCTTTGTTTCCAACTACGGAATGAAAGAAAGAAAACAGGATTGAGAAATTGATTTTCTCAGGAGAAAGAGAAAATCGGTCAATGCCAGTGTTCAACTCGGGGCGGGTCAAGTCAGGTCATAAACATTTATTCATTGAGACATCAATTCGATTTAATTTTAAAGATCAAATAGAAAATTGAAAAAAATAATCTTATTTATACATACTTCTAGTTAACATACAAGTATGTATTATCTTCTTGTCTGCTATCTTAAAACATTGTTCTGCTTATGATTGAATTATCTATTTTTCTTCATATAGAAAGAAATTTCGAATATAGTATTTTCAAAAAATAAAGAAACTTTTTCTAAATTATGTAGCATATGGATACATAGAAAATTGAATAACAAGATAATCAACTTATGTCAATAGCAAAAGCAATTTAATGTATATTTTTTATTGCATATGTAAAGTGGTTCTCAAAACATGCAATCAATGTGATGGGTAATTGAAAGTGTGATCACTCATACGCTTATTTATATACATTAGGTTAAACCAGAAATATATATAAAGGGGTGTAAAATAAGTTTCGACCTTCTCATGCAATATTGTTTTCTGTCACTTTTTTTCTATATTGGTTCAGGTTGACATTCACAGTACATATACTAGACGTTTAGCTCTACTCCATGCTAGAATTGTAGCCTATTGCCTATCATTGTTACAGAGGTACGAGTCATGTCAAAGACATAAAATTTTTCCAAATCTTTTTGACGTTGTATTAGTAATGTTACACAAAAGGTACTGCTTAAAAGAAGATTTAAAAACCGAATTTCTTTTAAACAAATAATAAAAAACAATCATTCATTGATGCATTGTCATATTGTATATCTCTCAGTTTTTCCTTAATTGCACCCTATACATTTTCCATTGGCTAAATTTGTTATTTTTGCATTATTTTTCAATTTCATTTATATAGATTATTTAATATGTCTGAATTATTTCGATATTTATTTTTGGTTGTTTTTGCATTATTGGTTCTATCTTTTAGTAAGTATACAATAATGTTACTAGATAGAAATACTATGTTTATTATAGATCATGTTCAATGTCGAAATGCATTATCACAACCAGTAGATGGTCTGAAAAGCTCATTAAAACATATTGATTATATAAATATTTGCATGTTTCGAAAAACTCGTTTATGCAATTGTAAGATTTATTTAAATATAATATCTTTACAATACATTTTTATTTTAGTTCTACATGAAATGAATAATGCTAAATTTAATGAAACAAAGTAAGTAAAAGAAAACAAATTCGATAATTTATTAAATTTATTTATTATATAGACAAGATCTAGAATTATGGAAACGTGGTGTTAGTCAGTTCTTCAGTAACTGGTAGATCATATTCTCATCATTTATTCATTATTGATTTGTACTGAATAATATTAAATAAAATAAAAAATAAAGAGAAAGAAAAATACAAATCGAAATAGACAAATTCTTATTCATTATTCGACTCAATGAGATATCTCAGACGATGATATTCATGTCTTCGAATGGCTTAAGTAACTTGTCATTTTTTTTTATATGTATCAAGTTCAATACCATCGATAAACTTGTCTTTCAATAGAATACGATATAAATAACTCTCTTCCACAGAACAGAAGCCCAGTTTCAAAGTTATGATCTTCCAAATGTAGTAGAAGTTCACTGTATTCGAACAAGTGCGAAATATCAGTGCTGGCTGTCGAATAAATTAGCTCATCGCTGTTCTCCTGTTTGATTATAACTTCTTGTAGGTATCTGATTTCGTTTGTTCTACATATTTTCTACTAAAGAACACATGAGTGTGTTTCATGAGTGGAAAAACATGTACGCATAAACATCAATGAAAGACAGCTGTTCAAGAACTGGTGAATAGGAAATAGACATGTTGTAATACCATTCTATTGGGCTTCTTTCTATTATGGGATTACACACACGAACTAGAAATGAAACAATGTAAATTTTTATTAAGTTGACAGAAATATGAACAAATCTTTAACTGAAAAATGAGACATCTCACAAAGCTGAATGATGATCGATTAGATTCAAACAAAACATCAAAACAACAATCATATCGTCACATAATTTATTAACTTCACAATTGGTTATATGAGAAATGGTGTCCATTCAACGAAAAACATTTAAGTGAAAGGCTATGCAGCGAAAAAAAGAAACCACGAAATGCACAATTGCGAAAATCTGTTTGAGAGAAGGTGCATAACAGTGAAAAGTAAGACTGCGGAAGTCAAATTATCGAAAACAAACATGGCGAAAGGCATTTCAACGAATTCTTTTCCCTCACGAGGCTTGATTGTTTATGTTTAACGATGACTCATCGTCATGGGTCTGTATATAAGTGGTAGCACTTGCTTATTGTGCTCTTTTCGACCAACTGATGTTTTTTTTTCTTTTTTTCGATATATATTTGCCCGTATGCGATACTGTGACGCTGATACGTACATCATTCATTTCTTTTCATTCAGCAACCCAAAGGTGTGAGCGTGGATGTGTGGGAAGGAATCTAAGTATCACCCACATCCACACCGACCCACATTCGCCCACACCCACTCACATCCACCGACATCCACACCCTCCTATAATATTTTTCTACGATGTTCGTTCGAACTTCATTGCAATGACAGACTCGGTAGGAGAAGATCCGACACAATGCTTTCATGAAGGCGAATGATGTGTATTTTTATTTCAACTGTCTGTGTGAATACTTGCTACTGTCAACCGAAAGGTTTTTTTTTCTGTTTACTCAAACACTTTCCTACTCTTGCTCCTTCAGCACATAATGTTGTTTTTTGACATATGAAAGAGTCTCATTCTCTTTCTTATTTGTAGCCTTGAAACAGACAACGAGGAGCAACAATGCCATACGGGTGTCGATGCCGATGTCGCCATGGGTGGAATGATGTCTTCTTCTGACTGGTCCACACACCCACACTCACTTCATTTTCATCATTCACTTTTGTACAGAGTCTAGATTGTTATTTTTTTCTTCTTGTAGTCTCAAGTGTGAAGGAGAAACGGGTGACCATAGCGAGGCAACGAAAATGGCACAAGCTTTGCTTTTTCCAGTGGAGAATAAATCGACAGCTAGATGCATTCGTTCCTTGTTTTGTTGGCTTCCTTGCACTTTAACAAGTCGAGAGAGAGAGCGAAAGAAAAATATAAAACGATGCATTTTCAATCAGGTTATATTTTACTTTATGTTTTTAGGAAACTTGTGTTTGTTATTATTCTTTCGCAATGCTGCACGCTTCCAAAAGCTACTAGGATTTCTTTTTGCAACATTTTCACATATCATGGATGAGTGAAAATTTCTTTCTGTAAGTAGCCCATATAAAAAACTGAGCGTACTGCGAAACCATACCCTTTCGCCCCACGTAATCGATTCGATCGGCTTTTATATCATACTGTACTGTATCGGTATCAGAGAGGCTTTGCTATATAAAGCACATCGAAATATTGTTTTATCGTCAAAGGCTTTCTTTGGGTTTCGAATTTACAATCTAGTCTATATAACATGTATACGTAATTTGGACTGCACGTAAGAAATTATGATGACGAATAGATACGAAATTACACTATGCATAATATATCTGTAAGTTTTGACGAACTCAATCCTAGTCTTCTAAATCGCTGTCGTGAGATAAACATTTTTTACACTTGTGAAACATGTTCTGCGAAACAGTAAAGTTCATTTTCGCCGAATTTTCGTTTCGTCCAATGCATCGCCGGCGAAAAGAAAATTCTGTAAAAATTGAATTATTCGTCGAAACGAAATTTCACTACGCACATAAATCCTAAGAAAGAACTAATCTACGAATAACATAGAAAAACTTTATCCTATACTCTTACTAAAAGACATTTTCGGTTATTTAAAAAGCGATTACCGTCTACACCTCTTCAGCCGCCTGAGGCACCGTTTTGTGTATACAATATTATTTACGTAAGAGCTGTGCGAACACCGTCAACAAAAAATAAACTGATTGCAGGACTTTAATCAAAAGACATAACAAAAAGGATAGTTAGCATTTTTTGTTTTGAAGAAAATGAGTGCGCGAACTATTGAGCTTCTTACACGATACAATCGTTAACTTATTTCGGATTTCTATGTGAATCAAGCTTTGTTGACCAAACAGTCCGTTAAAACGGATGCCATCGAATACAATCGAAATTTGGTGTCTCTCTCCCTATTGACAGTACTCGAACCTATACCACAAGAAAGAACATATGATTTTACATGTCTCGATGTATTTTATTCTACTTTGAGTTACTGAGAAAAAGGTTCCAGAAGATACCTTCATTTAGTCATGGATACTGTTATGACCCCATTGCCATACTTGTGCTCTTGAACTTCTTTACATAAAGCGCCCCTTTCTAAGTTTTCACAATAGAAACAAATGGAACTTGCTTTGCTCTACGAGATGCATGTCAATGGTCGATAACCGGCATCTTTCCTCGAGAGAAATATAGGACCTAAAGACCCTGTTGATATCAGTGTTTTTTACATGAATCATGACACATTGTTTCAGTTTAATAGCTCAGTCTCTTAAAAACATCCGATGACAAGACTAAAACTTTCTTAGAAGCTGCGTTCTGTGTACTTCTACAACGTACACTATATCCAATAGAGAAAATATTGGGCCAAAGGAATCACCCACCTACTGACATTCTAGATAGACACCCCTCTGAAGATACTTGTGCAATGTTGTAGCAAATGGTTTTCAGAACAAATTCCTTCAAAACCAAGATACGACTTCAAACTTATGCTGAACATTTAAAAGTGAGGTAGGTAGGCTCTATGTGGTTTTTTTAAAAGGGTGTTATGAGGAAAATTTTCAGAGAGGCCCAAGGTTTTTGCTATTTGATCTTAGATTTGAATTCATTACTTTGAAGCACTAAACTTTCATGCATCGAACAGAACAGTTTTTGGTAACTTCGAATTGACTGTTTTGTGGGTGTTTGGCAAGGCCTCTAGGATTTACCTTTTTGTTTTTCATTTGTGCTCTATTAAACATCTAGTAAGGGCACGAAATGCGATGCTGCTTGAAACACCGAAATACGAGCAAATTCTTGGGCGAGTATTTCTTGACTCCAACCTGATGTTCGTTTTGCAATTTTGACTGTTGACTGAAGTTTTTGCACTCTTTCTATGGATCATCTAGAAATTTTGAAATAGGTGGATGCAAATTTTAAAGGTTTTCATAGCGCTGTTTGCCATAAACGAGCATCTCTTGCAACACAAGTAAATGGCACTATAAAACCTTTTTCAACAGATTTTTAGCGCTGACGATTGTGCTGTGTAATCAATTATTCGTAACCTTCAACAATCATTGAAGGCTACTGTTCTTGAGTTATATCAGCGCGAGAGTTTGTTGAGAACGTTGTGTATTTGCTTCATAATAACATTTATTATGAGTCTCCTTTGTTTAATTGAAATCGTTTGAGTGAAACGACACTCTTTTACGTTATGCGTTGCTACCAAAGAGTCGTCCAAACAGAATACAATCTGCGACTATTTATATACGTTTTCGAGAGTTACTAAGTATTTTTAACTATATACGAAGAAGGCAGATTGCAAGGCTTAGTGAAGAGAAGCTATGAAAAGTCTTAAAATTTCCATCCAGTTATTTCAATATTTCTAGATTATTACTGGGGACAACGCGAAAACTCGTGTTAGTAGTCCAAATGGTGGACGAGCATGAAGTTGTAGGAAAAAAATTATTTATCTAAGAATTTTCTCATATTTTCATGCTTCAAGCAGTATTGCACTTCGTACCCTTGCTGGCTCCTCTACCGACCTGAAACAAAAAAGCAAAAACAGGGTGTAGGTGTGGATGTGGATGGAGAGTCTACGCACAAACACCCACACACTCAAACCCCACACTCACATGTTGGCAAAACAATCAATTCGAGTTTACCAAAAACTTCTGTTCAGTGCGTAAAGGTTCAGTGCTTCGAAGAAATGAATGCGAGTCTAGGATCAAATGGCGAAAACCTTCAGTCTCTCTGAAAATTTTCCTCATCACACCCTTTCAGAAGACCATATAAAGCCTATCTACCGCACTTTTTAGTGTTAACATAAATCTGAAGTCGCATTCTGATTTTCAAGGACTTTGGTCTGAAAACCGTTTACTAAAATATTGCACAAGCATCTTCAGAGGAGTATCTCTTTAGAATATCAATAGATGGGCGAGTGCTTTGGTCCAATATTTTCTCTATTGAATATAGTGCATGTTGTAGAAATACTCAGAGCGCAGCTTATGAGACGGTTTTTTGTCTGTTTATGGCAATAGAATCATAAATGTATCTGTGACCACATATCAGAGTACTTTGAAGAATCGTTTTCTCACTGAGTCAACCAATGATAAAAATACATCGAAACGTAAAAGCAGATGGGTTTTCTCTTGATATAGATTCAGACAAGCACCAATAGAGGAGAGGGTGAGGCGAATTTCCGCCGATATCCGACCGTGCCTGCCTATAGTTCAAAGTATCAAGGATAAGTTAGCAAATGAGTGATAAACAGGAAAGCAAGTTCTACGATAGCACATTTTGATGAAATTGACGTAAATGGAAAATTTAATAAAGACAAAAAACAAATGAACAGATCGAGTTTGTCAACAATTGTAGCTATCGTAGTTTAAATTAAGTTTAAAAAACATAGTTGAATGCAATACAAAAAGAGTCTGCACGGCACTGAAATCTTTTCTTCTACTATTATTTAATTCATACTATGCAGTCCATTTCGTCTCGCGAAAAAGAGAATAGATTTCTGAAAAGACCGTGCTAACAGTAAAAATTTTTAATTTTTTTGAAACAAGTGATGTTATGCCAGGAAACCTTTCATTGTAAAATCACAAAATCTATTGGAAATATATTTATCTAAGATAGTTATTTAAAGATCGCTCTTGAGCTTAATTATTAGTAGAGAATTTTGAGAACTTTGATGAGTTGCGTGAAGATAAATTGGTATTGTCGCAAAATCTAGAAAAAAAAATCTAGAAAAAAAAATTTCGAAAAAAAAATCTAGAAAGAAGAAAATCTAGAAAGCAAAAAATTTAGAAAGGAAAAAATCTAGAAAACAGAAATGTAGAGAACAATGTAAAAAATTCATTAATCTGTCAAAGCTAAGTGCGTTCTCACTTTTGTGACTCAGCCTTTGATATGAGGGTGGGGTGTCTGTTACGAATAGACAGTGATTGATATATAGAGCAGGTAGAGATATTACTTTGTTTTGTTCGAGAGCTTTGGCAAGTTGTTGTGCTCCTTGATCCCCGATTTCATTGTTACCAAGGTTTAGTGTAGTTAGCGTCTATTGTAAATTGGTANTATACTAGATACTATGGGAGTTGATATAACAAAAACCAAACTGTTCTCACTCATATAGTTGTTGAGATACAAAGGAAACAAGAAAACTTTATCTACTGGTCGGATAATTTTGGCGGCCACTGTATATAGAGTTTTACAAAGAAAAAGTATCGAATAAGAGAAATCATGCTTTTCTAAATTTTAGGTGTACCTCCACGTGTTTTTCGTCCTCAAGTGCGCTCAAAATATCTTGATATTGAAGAACGAATTTCTCACATTACCGATAGTAAACGAACACCTATTGACTTATACAATGGTGCAAAAGGTTCACAAGCAACGCGTGAAACACGAATGGAAGTTGTGGCTTGGATAGCTGTATGTATTTTTTCGTGTAAACTTGAAGGTGGGTTCGTACGTGATTGGGTTGTCGGTAACTATACGGCACGACCACAAAGTCTTCTAGGAAATCCAAAAGCGTGGGTTACGTATAGCAATTCGATACCATATATAGATAACGAAGTTGTCCCAGCTGATTTAGATTGTCATTTGCCGACACATGCTTATTTCGATATTGAGAAATTTCATGATGAACTATACAAGTATGATATTACATGCAAAGTTTTTCGGCAAGATTGGCGTTATGTAATACTGATTGATGAAGATGCACCAACGGGTCCATTTACAATGGATTTAATTGAGCCACACGTCGCATTAACTCATGACCGTATTGATTTCGATGTGAATAATTTATCATTAGAAAAAGATTATACTCATGAATTAGGTATGCGGGTTGATATTCAGCAACGGCCATATTTGATTGAGCTTGAAGCGATTGTCGATAATATTAAAAATAAACGCTTTCAAGTACTTCGTCCAATCGATCATTTTCTCACAGGACGTTTTAACAAGATGACAAATATTCGACACTGGACACAATTGGGAGAACCGTTTTAAGTTGTACCAAATCCGAATCCAAAATACTCTGCCGTTCTCGTACCATTACCACCATCAACACAGTTGTATCAAGATTTAGAAACACAGATGAAAAACATTGGTAATTCAGTTAAAATTGTGTCAATTGAACAGGGGGAAAAATCCTCTGCTAGAGGATGCATATGAATCAATGAAAAAGTTAATTGGTAAACAATGCAAAGGTTTCAATCCAAACGAAAGACCGTTATTCCATGGTACCAAAGGACCTGGCATTGATGGCATCAGAGATGATGGTTATGACGATCGTTATTTCAATGTCAGAGGCAATTGGGGTGAGTGATGAATAAATGATGACTATAATGTACCAGTGGCATAATCCTATTTCCTCATTTTCCATTGAATAATTAGCAATTACTTGCTGTACGAACAGCATGAGTGACAGTATCGATTTCTATGGCAGATAAAATACGGTCAACTTCTATTTGACTATTTTGTTGTCGTTTCACAACAATACTTCAAGACATAGATTAGCCCAAAAACAGCAAAACAACTTTTTAAAAACTCTGAGAAAGTCGACAAATCTAAAACTTTTTCATCTCTATTTTAAGAATTAAAACTAGTTAGAGTAACAGTAGAAACTCCTACAAAATTGAAAACAGTATTGATTTTTATTTAATTGAGTTCAGCAAACGTCAGTGCAAGAGGTCAGTTGCTATCTCAAACAGGAGCTCATCTTTTTATTTCGCTGAAAGATTTTCGATTTTCCATGACAAGAAATTCTACCTGTAGAAAACTTTCCTTTCCGAGTTTTCGTTTTTCTTTAACGTTTGTTTTTCAACGATGCCAAGTGAAGAGTATTCTACTGAAGAGTCATCCACATGTTACAAATATTTTACCTAGGATAAATATCTAATACAATTGAGTGTACAGGTTTGTATTTAAACAAATTTTTCGAATATTTAGGTCATGGTGCATATTTCGCCGATGATCCTAAAAAGTCTCATGGTTATACGGATGCGGATCCAACAGATCAAACGCATGCTATGTATTACAATAAAGTCTTGTTAGGCATAGTGTCAAAACAGACGGCAACCAATCAACAATTGGTATCGGCACCGAAAGATACGCATTCTGTCGTAGGAGAATTACGAGGTTTCACCGAATATATTGTGTATCGCTACGGGCAGGCGCTGCCCTACTTGAAAATTACCTATAAAGCATAATTAATATAGGAGATATTCATACGATTTGATCAAACGATGGTTCAATACGATGTTTTTTAATGACTTTTTACTCAAGAAAAACTATTTTTGATTTATTTTACTAGCCAAATACGATTTACCGAATAAAATCTACTTTGAATCAATTAATGACTATTACAAGATATTTTTCATTGAGTATTTAAATAGTTATGGATATGAACCGTTTAACATCGGAATAGTTCATCCTATAGGCTAAAACATCATGTGGTTGTTTTCCTTGTTCATCTAGTATACGATCTGATGCTATCAAGCGATTTATTCGAAGTTCTTCTCGACGGTATAAAATTAATGATGGGATACTTGTTTCAGCCTATATGATTTTATAGGTCTCAGTGCAAAGTGATTCTAATTTTCGTTAGCACAAAGGTAAATGCAAGTATCGAATATTCCTTGAGAGTTATAGAAAAATATCAGATCCTTGTTGGGACGAATCGGCCACTTCCTGAAATCATCCTTTGTCCATTCTTATTTTTTATTTTCGATATCCGGAATCTACCACATACCGACCCAATCCTATAGACCTGATTTAGATTGCAAACATCTTTCATTAGTTCCAGCTCGAGTCTCAGTCACTTTGGTCAGTATTCTGAGTATTTTTTTGATGAGGGTGTGTTTTTGGCATAGAGTTTCTAAAAAAACCTTTTTCAAATAATATACATCTACTATATGTTTTAAGTAGCTAATTCGTTTCAAACAAAATTTCGTGTTGTAGAGTCAATGGCCCTAATTCTGCCGGAAAAAAAAACATCGTTAGAAAATAATCAATAACTTGAGTTCACAATAACGTATTGAGCTGAATTTTTTTTCCGGAATAGAGCGAACATTTCTCTATCGATTGATGCAAAATTCATTGAAAAATGTGCAGCCGTTCTAACACAGTAACAGTAAAAATAGCAAGGGGGTCGTTTTTTATCCAATTCTTCTCTGGATTTTAATTTGCCGGTCAATGTAATTTTTTTTCCTAATTATGCCGTTTATATGTAAAACTGCACTGAATTTACATAGAACAAAAATTTTTTCTATGAAAATGGAACTAAATTAAGATAAAAAACACATCACTAGATTCATCCAGTCATGGTGCATCGAGTCGTATGTTTTAATTCTAGTTCAGTCTTCTTTGCTGTTACTTTTTTTGTTTACAAAAATAAGAAGTTGAAAAAACAACTTGTTTTGCGTTCCAAAATCTGCCGATCAATGTATTTTTTTATCCTAATTCTGCCGTTTTAAGTAGAAATGACTCAGGACTGTCCAAGAGCAACTTATGAATATCATATTCGAAATCAGCGTCAAAAACTACACCAGTATGCATGTTTTCTCAAAAAAAATTTTTTTTGAAAAAAATCGACCGGAAGGGTACCACCAAAATTTTTTCAGAAAAGGCCCTGAGGGGGACTACGGGTCGATTTTTTTCGAAAAATTTTTTTTTTTTGAGAAAACATGCATACTGGTGTAGTTTTTGACGCTGAGTTCGAATATGATATTCATAATTTGCTCTTGGACAGTCCTGAGTCATTTCTACTTAAAACTGGAGAATTAGGAAAAAA